TTGAAAATACAGCACTTCTGAGCAAAACCTCTCTTTAGACACACTCCACCAAGACTCTGCCTCAGCAGCAGTGCTGAACCCTGTTCAAACCTTTAGAAATCCATTTTCTATAAGTGAAGTCAAATTACTGATAGTCTATAACATTGAAAAGAGACCATTTGATACTGTCAATTCTGTTATCTATAGTGAACCTAAAGATGCATTAGTTTGATCAGACCCCATTATTTATCTGCATGTTGTGAATATTGGTGTATTAACATGAAATGGATTATTATCTAATTTAAATGGTATGCGACTATTCCATGAATATAGTGACTGATATTAAAAGGCGTTGTTTCAAAAGCAAGTAAAATGTAATTTGAAATTATACCTTATCCTAATTAGTGTATTTTTTTTAAAAAAAGACAACCACACTGAGCATATAGTTAAATCTTAAGGAAATACTTTGCTTTGTAATTTTTCTGAAAATTACCAATCTATTATTTGTTTATACATAACAGGAAGTGCAAACCAAAATAAGGTTCCCCTTTCCACTGTATTACTTTACAGTTCTGATTTAGCGATCTTGTTTATTTCTTTGCTGAAGAGATACTCTGTGTGTGTGTGTGTGTGTATATATATATAATATATATGTTCCTCTTTTATTCTTACAGTGTGAAAGTATCATAGAAGAGTATGAAGATGAAATTTTCTCACTTATCGCCCAAGAGTCAGACTATCTAGTTGACAAGCTGTGCAGTGAAAAATCAGGTACTGTGTCTGATGTAACATGTGCTCTCTCTACAGCATTTTTTTCTCCCTTCCCCCACCCTTAAACCTAGTGTACTGCTTTGGGTGCAACAAACCACTTTGGAGAAGAAGCGTTAGCTGAATAAGCAACAGCACAACATAACTTTTAAAAAATGGTTCTTTAAAAAGGAAGATTTCAACATCTGTTTTTAATCTTTTTTATACATTTTTAACAGAATATTTTCAGCATTCCACGTCTAATGCAGTGTGTTTTTCTCCTGGTGTTACACGATCAGCACTTTTTTAGTCTGTGTATTTGTTTTGCCTTCCCAAAGCAAGGAATGAAAATAACCTCTTGCAATAAAGGAGATGCATGGGTTTTTTTAAAGTTTAGTTGTTTATTGATCATAGCTCATGTTACAAGCTAGAATTAACATGTAGCTTAAAAATGTTGGGCCTTCAGTTTGTGAACAGAACTCTTCGTTGACATCAGTGGGGAGTTCTGCTTAAAACTTTAAAATTGTTATGCTTTCAGTGTATGTTAGAGTAATACATTGGCATTTCTATGTCAAATATATTCCTCTCAAAATTGTAATACTACTTTGAATTTTGAAACTAGGAAAAATACCTTGATAAATGAGTTAGTTTATTATGAAAAAGCATACATTTTACTATTTGTTGGTCATGTTTTCAATGGGATTTTATGTAATCATTTTTAAAACCAAGAAGTACATAGTTGAATGGATTTAGTATGGTAAAATTATAATGTGGTTGGACCATCCCTTTTGTATGTGATTTCTATAGAGAAAAGTGATAGAATATGTATGGAAATATTGATCTCAGAATCAAAGCTTGTAATATGAGTATGTGTTTTTAAGGTTCAAAGTATTTAATATTTAGCACATACAATAAAAATGCTAGAAGTTGATTTGATAGATGTTCATAGGAATAAGTAAATGTAATTTGTTCAAGTTAGTGTATATTTTAACATAGACTGAAAAAGCTTGATCTAGGGGATGGAAAAATCCATTATTATAAAGTTTGAAGTTCTTTTTATCACCTATGCAGACAAATAATTTAAAAGAACTGTCCAACAATGTTTCAGTTTAAAAAAAAATAATTTATGCTGTAATTGTAGAACTATATTTGGTCTCAATAATTAGTAGATGAAGAGATTAGCACAAATAATTTTCAAAGCACCACAGCTCCTTCAAAATGCATAGTCTTGCTTTTGCTGTTGTGCTTTTTAAAGAAAAAGGCAATCCAGAGGTAATAAGCAAAGATAAAGACAGGACAATGCAGAAAAACAATAAGGAATATGTTTTTGTAAACAAATGATTAAGTTGGGTAGCTTTCTTCACCTTGCTGGTTATTGTCACAATTGCTGGTAAACCTGGTGTAAAACAACTTGCAGTTTTGTACACTTTAGATAGAGGCCCAACTTACACAGAAAAGATTTATGCTAAAGACTAAACTATTAAAATGCCTTTTATCATTAACAAGATGGCCTAATTTTGGGGGGAACACAGTCATTTTGTTGGGCTTAAACTCAACTATATGACCATATTTTCTACCCACATTAGTTCAACATTGTAACTTTAATAAAACAATTCCCTAATTTACAGTGGAAAAGATTCTCATTGTTATGTGTGGCTCTTACGCACACAAGCATCCCCATTGAAGTAGGTGACTGCTTACATGAGTTGGGAGAGCAAGGCTTGGCCTTGCGTGACAGAAGAAATATCAAAAATTCTTTTCAGAATGGGAAAAAGTTGAGTACTCTTTCCTCTTCCGGGCACCTGGCACAAATATGGTGCCATTTAATAAACAAAACAATTCAAGAAGGTGCAAAAACCGTAGTCACGCTAAAAAGAGACCCTCTCTAACACTGAAGAAATGCAGAGGGAAATAAATTAATCTGCCATTCTTTGCATAATCTGCCTTTTCAAGGAAAGAAGTCATTATGTTAAAGGAAAAAGATAATAGATTACTCTTAAAACTTTTTTTAAAAAGCGACTATGCACAATTTTTAAAATGAATTAATATAATAAACCATGAAATAGGATAACAATACATTTATTAAACCAGTGAAATTTAGTGAAAGCACACAAACAATCTTGCTGCTAGCTGCTGGTGCAGGAAAATTGTGGTACCTGAGTTGCAAGAAAATGTCTGTCTATATTTTTCATGGAATTTGGCATTACATTCTCGAGAATATGGAAACTGCAATTCTCTGAAAATCATTGTGCAAAAATGTGTTCCAAGTAGAAAACATTTATATGTAACTTAAAGAGGAGTATAACTGATAAGGATTAATAGTAATTCATAATATTTTATCTATCTTACAATAGTATACTTCATAGACATGTTAAATTAAAGCAGTATTATAGACTTATGTTCTTACTGTCAACATTTGGTGCTTTGCAAAAATTATCATACCAGAGTGGCCAACATAGACCCAATTTTATATAAAGTTTTGCTATGGGCAAATAGCTGATTTTGCTGCCATGCATTTAATCTTTAAAGGAAAATCCAAATAGCCATTGATTAAGTCTCCATAATGTTAATTTGTTGAAAGTAAGGGATGTAAATGTAACTTACATGTGTGGCCTATAACAAATGTCCTGTTATCAGTGTAATCAAATATATCCCTTCTAATCCATGGTAGGGTAAAATATTAAAGGGCACAATATCATCTGAATGCATAAATATGACGTTAATGGAAACCATGTACACACTGAGAAGAAATTACCAACTAGACATGTTTAGTATTTATTTTTTTAGTTGCACCTCTATTCTTGACGTTACATATATGTTCATAATACTCTGGTGTTTCTCATTTGATTAAATCATGGAAAAACTTCAGTGATGTGTTTTAGAATGATCAAACTGTTTGATATTTGTAATCGTAGATCAGTTTTCTGTCACATGTACTCTTTGATCACACAAAAACCCTCTATTCTACCCTTTCCATAGACAAGCTATCAAAAATTCTGAAACATGCCTTTAGATGTTCTACAATTTTTCACAGGCCTAAAAGTCTAGGAGTTAGTTCTCAAACATACTACTTTTTTTATCAAACTACAAACAGGAAGTTCAAATTTCCAATTTGACCAGTAAAATTATAAAGTGAGACTGATATATTCTGAATTTTAAAACGTTGTCCAAAATTTTTCATTTCCCTCCCCAATTGTAATTGTGGAACATATCAGTGCTTTCTAATTCAAATTTTGTAATGAATTATGATAAAATGCATTTAGACCAATAAGAAGTAGGAAAGCAGCCAACAGTGGATTATAGTAATTTGTAGTCTTGTGTCATTTGTTTTATCAGTGGAAAACAATACAATCACTAGCAGAGAACGCTATAATTAAAGTAACAGCGAGACTTCTATTACAATCCTTTTTTTATGTGTTCATAACTCTGCAAAATTATTCTTTTTGGCTGAAATTTTCCAATCTTGGTCTCATCCCAAAGGTGATTTTTAATTATTAATTTACTTTTTATGAAATTTTGAGCAGATTCTATTCACCCATTTTCTTCTGCAATTGTATTACTCAAATACTTGTGATATGCAAGTTGACACATTCTAGGTTGCTAGTCCTCACTGAGAACTAATCTCTAAGATAGTTTGCCAAAGCTAAAAAATATAGCAATTATATAAATTTAAAATGCTTGTTATATGTATGCATGGTATATTACATTTCCACTAGATTAAGTGTTATGATACTGTCTATGGGGTTAGGTTTAAGGCACAAACATTGGTTATATAGATGTGATCTTGTCTTGGAATTTCACTGTGGAACTTTATTTTTTCATTGATTTAATTTAGTTTAATTTTTTTGGACCATGCAGCTATGGCATGATCGAAAAAGACCATGTGTTTTAGGCTTTTTTTTTTTTTGGCAATGGAATCTGTTAGTGCCGACTTCAGTAAGACTTTATAGGGATTGAAAGGTGCATGCTGGTAGGTCTCATTACAGAATTGGGGCCATAATCTCCTTTTACTTTTTTAAAATAGTTCAGTAATAAAACCCCACCCCATATTTTAATTTAACCTTAAGGTTAAAATTAAACACTCTGAAGTCAGGCAATACACAAATTAAATTTCATATTAACCTGAACACTTCACATTGGGTAATGGTGAATACTTTCTACTACTACTAATGTTGCTGTATGTAACTTTAGGACATAATATTCCCAGTTCTGCTCTCAGAGTTCCATGCATAACTCCAGTCAACTTCAGTGAGTATTTGGAAATGTGTGAAGAATGGATTGAAACCCGTGTGGGAAATGTGCTTACATTAAGGTCACTGAGGAAACGTTGGGCGTTTCCTGAGTTTGAAGTGTTTAAATATGTATTTCAGTAAAATATGCATGTATTTTGGTGAGGTGATAATTAAGGAAGCTGTATTGCATAGCTCAGAATGGGATAACTGTTGAATTAAAATGAACACTACAGATTATTTCATAGCATTTAAAACATTTTGGAAAGATATCATATCATATGAGTTTGCATAGATCTTATTCATACCATATACCAGAATTGTTGGCCTCTAAAATATTTTAATTTAACATATCTGAAAACAAGGGGCAGAGACCAGTATTATTTTACTATTATTTTTAAAAGATTTGTTTGCTCTGTGTTAAAGAGAAGTGGATATCGATGCGGTATCAAAGACTCAATATTATATTTCAAGCATTCACTTGCCGTTGTTTATTATTTATTCAAAAAGTATGTGATTTTAACAAAATGTAATCATTTAAAACATTAGTAATGATATGTAACTTTTTCCCCTCAGGTCTTTGTGAAGAATCTGCTACTCATGCTGAACTATAGCATCGATAAACTATTAATTTTACAAAGTGGAGTAAGATGAAAACCACAAAAAAAATCTTCCTGTGAAATCAAATACTGATTCTCTGCCTTTTTTATTCCCTGTATTATCTTTTATTTTGTTACCTTTATATTTTTTGATGTGCATGAGTTCCTGTTTGTTTAAATTTTGGATGTTTTCATATTAAAATATTTAAACTGAAGTTTGGGCCATGCAGTTTAAATAAGGATCTTAGATTTAACATGTAATTTAACCATTGACCATTTCTATGCGTAAAACAATGCACATCTTAAGATATTCGTGCTAGGTGTGTTTTGATAAAGCCAATGTCTGGTTGTAAAAAAAAGTATTGTGTGAGAAAAATTATGACTCTTATTTAACTAAAACAAGTATTTAAATACAATTTAAGTACACCTATTATTGTTCCTGTGTATTTGTCCTTTGTTTTAACAAATGGTTGATTTCTGTGTACTTCCAAATATACATGAGCAAAATCTTACTATAAAATAGTTTTGAGTACTTGTTAGCTTTCTAATCTCTATGGATGAAAGTGAGATTCTTTCCAAATATTTATCCTTTCCTTTATAAATTATGTAAGTTAATGAAACATACCTGATTTCTTTAAAACAAGCCATTCTCTTAAAATTTCCAACTCTAAGTTTCAGAACTTAATGTATAATAAAAGTTGAACAAACACTGAAAAATTTAATCTGGTGACAAAGCACTGCTGATGCATGCTGTAAATGTTCAAAAAGTCTGCAATCAAAAGATATTAAAAAGTAGTCTTATTTAAAACTAATAATTTAATGTAATGACATTCAGATTTTAAACAAGCTTTTCAAATACAGAAACATGAAAATACCTTTAATATACTCTATATAAGTAAAATGCATCTACTCATTTACTTTTAATGCAAGAGTTATTAACTAACACAAAGTTTTTCTTTATAGTTCTCAATATTTTATAATAAAATTGTCTAGTACAGTAGCTATGGGATATATTAAAAATCTAGCTATCAAAATCTTTGTTAACAGTCTGAAAAATTCTGCTTAAAGTTATTTGTCTTTGATTATTAAAAATACATGAGTGCTTTCTGCAGTCATTTTATACACAGAACACCAATAGTTGTAAATTGGAATTTAGTGTGTGGAATATTTCCCATAGGATGCCAGATGAGACTATTTGGTTAGGTCTCAAATATCCTGTGAAAATATTATTTTGAAAGACTGAACAACTTTGTTGTGTTTTTGAAATTTCCAGGATAGCTCATTCAAAACATTAAGAAGGTTCAGTAAAATGTTCAGAGGAAAAGAAATGGGGTTAGCCTAAAAAGAGTTCTTAAAAATGTATGTAACTATAGTTGCAATTTGACTACCACGTAAAGGATATAAGATGGCTTACAGCATTATGCAAACAAATCATTCATAGTGACTAAAAAATATAAGTATTAGCATCTGTGAAAGTTTCTTTTAAGCTTATTTACAAACATTTAAACATACAAAATGGAGTATTTATAAGCCAGGCACAAATTCTCAAATGGCGTAAATTGGCCTAGCTCCATAAAGTTATGCTGATTTACATCAGCTGAATATCTAACCCCATACGTTTATCACACAAGGATGTTTTATATGACTTAATGTTCTTTAAAAGTGTTCTACTTTTTAAAAAATATGGAATATTTTGCCATCTCCTGTTGGCAGCTCAGTTTTATAGAATAGATTAGCAAGACTTACTGTTTGAATACAACAAAGCAATTGTACTCTATAAAAGGAAAACATCTGCCATAGTTAAAAAACATTTCTCATTTTTCAATAATATAGTTTAACTGTAAACTGGCATGTATATATTAATATTCCACCAAGAGCAAAAACAGTTACATTGTTATATTTCTATTGAATTATTCAATAAAAGTGCAAAACTGGTTAACTTTTTACCAAGTGGAGGACCTCGGTTTTGATATAAAACTGATTTGCTTAGCGAAAACTCTGAATACAAACCATAAACAGGTTTCCAGTTAGTTTCCTTTAGACACATAGAGTAGGCTGCCTATCCATATATGAGTATAAAATTAAATTTAAAGGGTCAGATTCCTCCCTTGCTTATGCTCCATGCAATCCTATTGATTTTTTTGAGCAGATGGTAAAGGCACAATTTGGATCAGAATGTATTTTTAAAAGAAATGTATTAATATAATAAAGAGACATACAATCCATGTGAAGTCTCATATATTTAAAAAAATAGAAGACGTTTCAAATAGTACCTTTTAGCTGCACTTTCAGTCTGAGGGATTTGACAATCACAGGGTCCTTTCTCTTAAATTAATTTAATTAATTAAGAATCTATTTCTCCCTCTATTACTGTGTGAAAGACCCATCCAAACAACAAAGGAAACTAATTATATAGGGGAAGCAAACCAACCAATTATTTAAAAAAAACCCAACTGATTATTTAAAAAAAAAAAAGTAAAATACCTGACGTAAAAAAACAGGGAGGCAAAGTGGAGGAATAGAAGAAATATTTTCTTCACATCTTTCTCAGTTACATTAATCATAGATTGTAATACTAGTTATGCCCCTTTAAAATGTTGATGCTGCAATATACTTTCTTTACTAAGTGCTGAACATCTTTTGTAATAATGCTGTCTATTTACGGATCTGAATAAAATTCCGACTACCTGTCTGGGGTGCTTTACTGTCCATCAATGGCCATATGCCATCTTTGATCCTTGCATACAACCACTGAGGTCAGTGCATGTAGAAGATAGGATCCGTATATGGCCCTTCAATATTAACTGTTATATTTTAAAGACTCTTTTTGCCCTTTTGCATTCTGTTTGCATATGTCGCAGTGAAAATAATATGGAGAGCCTTTTATATTGAGATGTCAGTATGTTGGCTACAAAATGTAGGCCAGATTCACCACCATATTGCTCCAGTTTTACACCAGCATAACTGCATTGAAATCAGTCCAGTTACTCTATTGTAAAACTGGAGTAACACAATAGTGGATCACACCCAAAATCAACTGTGAACATCTTGGTAAATTTCAGCTTATGTTAGTACTGTTTTGTTACTGCAATTACTATATACTGGGAAATGTACTTAATCTTTGAGGCTCTCTCTAAAGCATCTTAATTTATTGTTCATCGAGAAATGTTGAACCATGCATTTTATCTTTTATAAATTAGCAGATTATGCAAAAGACATCCTGGGTGTAGTTGGGATCCCATATATCTAGGTAATTTATATTTCACTGCCCTCCATGATATGTGAGTGTCAAGTGAAATATTGCTGCTTAGTTAATGGTTAGCTGATAAAAAGTAATCCACTGTTACAAATAGAAAGTTTGGTTTACTGTTCTGATAGCTTCCTACTTTTCCAATACATGAATATTCACTCAAAACACAGAGAAAATGGAATCAGGATACATTACTTTTTAAAACCATATTCCACCCTAATTTATACCAGTTTACAGTAATGAAATCAGTGAGTTATTCAAGTATGACTACAATGCAAAATCTGACCTCTCATTAGTTCAACAAAAATATAGAGATTGTTTGGAAGAATTCAAGGCCAGTTTGTCAGCTAGTGGAACTTTGGGAAATTCTACTGACTTCAAGTGGATTTATGTCCATTTGATCCTACTGGAATCCCTCCCCCCCCACACACACGTTTTTTGTTGCAATGACAGTGACACCATTAAAATGATACATTTACTTTTTAATGGTTTATTTCATTCTCCTTGTCAAGTCTACCAAGCAAAGAACAAATTTGCTGTGACAGATTTTAGTTTTACTCTTTGCTAGGAATGAGCTGAAGCCACTACATTCATTTCACTTAGGAATGGAAAATGGAATTGAACCAACGTCCCAAATGGGAAAGATCAATACTTTATTTACTAAAGATAAGCCCTAAAAATAAGGTTGTTCAATAAGAAGTCATATTTTCTATTCCTATTTTTCTCTATGGTCTGACATTTGTTTACACATCTGATAGCTTCATCAAAATACTGTTTTAGAAAATGCTTATTAGTCTGCAGTATTTTGGTATTTTATTGACATTAGTAATTATGTCAAAATATTCTGAGCAAAATATTAACTTGTATGGTATTCCTAACACATATTAAGTTTATCATAAATTAGGGCATCAAAATCTAAATTTAATTAAATACTAGTAATGGCTCTTACATAGTGAACTGTGTGAAATGCTCTGCAATTATATTATACACATTCATATGCAGCATATTTTGATATGGTAGCTAAGTAGATAATTAGTATTAAGATTATTCAGTTGTGAGATAGCTTAAGCTATGTTAGTCTCTAATAACTACTCTGACATTTATATGGTGCTGTTGAAGGTAAACCAAGATATACTTCAAGTAAGATTACTTGAATTACATCACTGAGCCAGGTGGCCTCTGTTCAGAATTGTAGCTTTCACCTGCAGGAGGAAGGGGTGGAATAAGAGACAATATTTTCCCAAGAATTTAGAAAAGGGCATGAGAGGAAAAATTATCAAATTAGCTTAGTATGTTCTTCTATTGTGAGCAAAGGGTAAATTTTAAAAATAATGTACACCCTAAAGTGTCTAATCCAGGATGTTGTGAGCTCATACAAAAGATGTGGGGGTGGAGAGGCTTTCAGAAAGGAAATAGCATGGGGGTTAGAAGACGAATGCAAGATGGAGTTGCTAGGTTTAATGGCTTTCACGGACCCAAGTGTCTGAACAGTGTTGTAGGATCACATTCCGCTGTAAAAATGTTGATTAACAGCAGAATTGTGCATAATGCAACATAGGCTAATACAGTGACTTTGTTGAGGAGCATCTCTAGAAGGCTTTGTGTTTGAAAAAAACAATTCATAAAGCTTTAAACTGACTGAAAAGCTTTTGAAAACAAGGACATCTTCATGTCTTTAAACATATTTACAGAATTATCTGATCTAATTGCACTTAGCAATGAATTCCATAGCCTTCAGGAACAATTGATGAAGAGTCTGGTAACTGCCGGCTCCAATCTACTTTGGGGAATGTTAATAAAAGGGTACCTAAGGAATCTTAGGTGTGTGCTGTGGAGTACAGGGAGCTAAATGTCATCTAATTAAGCCGAGCTGAGACCATGAAAGATCTTGTGAGTTAAAAGTTAAATATTAATATCAGTTTCAAACTTCATGAGAAGCTGGCTTAGTGGCAGAGGAGCAGATGGGATATATATCTAACATGTTCATGACATTTTATATTGCTAGCTAACCTTGCAGCAGCATTCTAAACCAGTTGAAGCTTTCTTAGTCCACATTCTGGAAGAACATCCAAGAAAGAATTATAACAACCCTTGAGGTGACACAGGCATTAAGGAAGGAAGGAAGAAAAGATTTCAATATGGCAATGTTTCTCAAATGATAAAAATTCCTCATTCTCATACTAAATGTGATATGAAGAAAAGGTGAGAGTTCAGAATAACTCAATATCTAGCAGGGACTAAACAATAGTGTCTACATTTGGCTTTTTTCTTCTTTTTGTGTGTGTGAGAAGGAGTTGATCAATTGCATTTTCTGCTAATGAGAATCTCTGTTCTATTGGAATTGAACTCCTGCAGGTTTTGATGTCACATAAGCACTGAAGCAGCACAGAGATGCCACTGCTCAGCGCTGTGGTGAGGGCCAAATAAATCTAAAACAGCATCAACTGTTTAGTAGTAAACACCCAATTACAGCTAGTTCCTATTTAATAGAGGCAAATAGTTTTCAGTGCGAATTTGGGACTCATAAAAATGAGGGGATAATAGCTGGCTAAAGCCATGTAAAATAAAGGATAACCACCATGTAAAATTTCCCCAAAATATCTAATGTCTAATGTGATATATATACACACACATAAACACACAGTCTTGTCATCCTAATTATTCATTGTATTAGAATCAATAGGTTCTAACCAGAATCAGGCCTTCCTTGTGCATGGGTAAGAGATGATCGTGTCCCAAAAAGCTTACAATTCAAATAGACAGTGAAAGGGTAGGAGTGTAATCATTTGCAGATCTCGACAATTAACGTAATCTACTCGCCCGTGGTGAGTAGATTTTAGCTTGGTGCGGCTGCACAGCGCGGTCTGTGCATGCGCAGCATGTGGAAGCGGGTGGCAAGCGAGCGGGGCTCGCCGGCGCTTGGCAAGCCCTGATCATTTGCATAGCTAGGGAACTCAGGGTATGTTTTCACAGCAGCATTATTTTGGAACAACTGATGCATCTACACAGCAAGACATTTTGAAATAATGTCAAGATGGGGGACTTCATACTCCAACTCCTGAAATCCTCATTTCATGAGGAGTAAGGGAAGTTGAAGGAAGAGTTTTCTTCCTTTGACTTCCTGCTATATATACAGCGCCAAAAGTCAAATTAAGCTATTTCAACTTCAGCTATGCAATTGACATAGCTAAAGTTGCGTATCTTAATTTGACTTTTGCCCTGCTGTGTAGATGTGCCCTCAGAGAGTTTGTCTCAAGCAAAAGTAGGATTTGAACCCAGGATTTCTGAGTTCTAGGGCTTGTCTGCACTACGGAAGTACAGCTGGGTCTACTCTAGGGAGTGATTTCAAAATAACCCCCCTTATTTTGAAATAACAAGTGGCGTGTTCACACTACCAACCCTGTTATTTTGAAATAATGGACTGGTTATTTTGAAATCTGTATTCCTGCTCTCCTCTGGGAAGAATGTTAATTTTGAAATAGTTACTTCAAAATAGTATTAGTGGGGATGCTCCAGTGCTGCTATTTTGAAATAACTACTCCCAAGAGTAATTTGAACTAATTACTCCCCAGTTCTTCCTGGGGCTCTAAGTCGAGGTAGCACATCTACAATAATGGAGCCTGCCTTGGACTAATTTTGAGGCTCCCCGATAGTTGGGACACGCTATGTCTATTTTGTTATTTTGGGAGTTATTTCAAATTTACTTATTTTGAAATAATTTCCCAGTGTAAACATGTTCTTATGGTGCTCTAGCTGTGCCCCATACTCTTAGGCTACGTCTACACTGGCATGATTTTCCGGAAATGCTTTTAACGGAAAAGGTTTTCCGTTAAAAGTATTTCCGGAAAAGTGTGTCTAGATTGGCAGGATGCTTTTCCGGAAAAGCGTCCATGGCCAATCTAGATGCGCTTTTCCACAAAAAAGCCCCGATCATCATTTTCGCAATCGGGGCTTTTTTTGCGGAAAACACTACTGTGCTGTCTACACTGGCCCTTTTCCGGAACAGTTTTCCGGAAAAAGACTTTTGCCCGAACGGGAGCAGCATAGTTTTTCCGGAAAAGCACTGATGATTTTACATTAGGTCGTCGGTGCTTTTCCGGAAATTCAAGCGGCCAGTGTAGACAGCTGGCAAGTTTTTCCGGAAAAGCGGCTGATTTTCTGGAATAACTTGCCAGTGTAGACACAGCCTTATAGTATAGATACTTGCTACAGTAAAGGAAGGTTTTTTTTTCCATGGCTCTACTTAATCCATTCCCTCCAGAGGTGGTACATTTGAACCTCTCTAGTCCGGCACTCTCTGGTCTGGCAACATCCATGGTCCAGCATGATTTTAGTTAACTGAATTTCCACATATCATGGGTGTGGCCACGAGGTGTACAGCTAGTTCGGATAGGAAGCCTAATCCGAACTAACTAGTTCGTGCCGCGTGTAGCC